TTTCCCTAGCCAACGTTTTTACTAGTACACTAGGGCTTTCTGGGGTGAAGATAAAGACTATCAAATGAATTCCCTAATAGCTGCCACAGGACTATTTCTAAGTTATGCAGAAGGTGGGAGGGGCTTTAAGGGAAGATTGTGCATGCTTGCATATATGTACAGGGATTCTCTCCACATCTACTGACTTAAAAAAACCTTTTATTATTAAACAGTTTGAAAATTAATTTTTTCCTTTTTGCAAAATTAAAATCAACCCTCAAGGATTAATTGCATATAAAAAAGAAACCTATTTTACAGCACTGACTAGTATTACCTTTAAAATCAACAGGAAAAACCCCCACATGCTGTAATATTGTTTGATAAAGTGAAAATCGCCCACAGCATAATCACCCAAAATGAACCAGTGTGAAGTTTTTATTTGCATGGCCAAAATACCTTTCTTTTGTTCCCCTGCAACTTTTTTCCCTTAAGACGCTTTAAGGTTTATGCTGCAGAAGAAAGAAGATGCAACACTGCATACTTCCTTGAACAACCACTCCCACAACACCTAAACATTTACAGATGTAGCAAATGACAACACCACAAAAGGAAAAGAAACTAAGTTCCACCATTCAACATGGTCTGCAACAGCGTCTTTAGGGCTGGCTGAAGTGGGCAACTTCACTTTAGAAGGTCATTTCCTCCTTGTTTCTTTACAGTGTTGGTGGTTTCAATCCATACTTCTTTGCAACTTCTGTCTGGGCATAGGCAGCATCACAGAGTGAGTAGAGGTGGGCCATCTCCATTTCAGATTTGGCCAGGTTGATAGCTTTGTTGAACATTTCAATGGCTTTATCCAGATTACCTCTGAAATAAACCAAAATGTAGTCCAGTTAAGACCAGCAAAGCAATTTTTTAATCTCTAAAGCATCTTTTTTTCCTTTAGGACTTACATTACTAACAGCTTGAAAGGACTTCAGGAGAAACCACCACAAGAACTTGCAGTATCATTAGCAAACTGATAGAAGTTAGCAACTAGGACAGCTGTTATACAGCCTTGCTCTTGAAAGGCCTCATGGGTGGTAGTGGGGGATAAAAATCTTCTCCACAGGACACTAGGTTTATTACAATCATAATGCTGGGACAACTAAATGAACTGTCATCTGCCTTGAAAAGCATTTGTATACTTAAGAGGAAAACCAGCATAGTCAAGAGCTCACATTATTAAAATAGGTAACACTTCCAAAATTTCTCATGGCAACAGCTAAATTGTCTGTCCTTCTGATGGCTAGACATGTAAAAAAAAAAGACTCAACTATACTCTCAGCTACACCCCAAACTTTTGCACAATTGTAATACAAGGCACTGTTACAGCACAGTGCATTAGTCTTTCCTCTTTATTCTGTAAACTTGCAAACTGCAATCCTTTTAGAGTTAAACCCAAATCATCAGTATAAATGGTCCACTAAGATATGTATAAGGACTACATTAGATACACAGGATTCCTTGTAATGATTAAGGAAGTTAATTTAAAGGCAGAAGGAATGTATTTAAACATACACAGACTCATCTGTATGTTTTCCAGCAAGTATGAAATTGGTGAACACAGGAACTTGTCAGACCATAACCAGAATTATGCCATAGAGAAAGGGGGGCTTTACCTAAGAGTTACAGAACAGATCAGGACTTTGGATAAGAGCTGGCCTTATTCAGCACTGGGGAGAAGATCTTACGGAAGACTTAAGACCCATAAGGAAATCTAAAGGACTACTACAATTTCCAAAGTAACTAAGAACTCTTAACAATGCAATTCAACATTACCTTTGCACTTCAATCGTTCCCATGGTTTCATATGCAAAATCACATTTGTTATCAATTTCAATGGCCTTGCTTATGAGTTCTAAGCCTTTGTCTAAATCTTGCTTCCACTGAAGCTGAAGTAAACTAGAAGAGAAAGAAAGTTTAAAACAAGTTTTGCATACTCCTCCGAAAACCCTAATGCAGGGTAGACAGTAACTTCACATCTTTTAAAACCATGTGTGTGAGGGTCACTTTCAATAAGCCATGCTAACAGTTTAATAACTCTAAAGAATGGTAAATTCCTCTCAGGAAGACTTGCTGTAAGTTGTTTTATGAAAGAGAAGTAAATTCAGCACAAAGCTGAATTAAGATACAGCTAAAGTCAGATATACGTCAAGTAGATAATTAGGAATGAACACTAATGAAACTTTCCTGAAACTTATTTACAGCTCAGTCCAGAGAAACTGCTGAAATACATTTAACAGCTCTAAGACGTTTTCACAAAGTTACTTCTCCTGGCTAAACTTCTAAACACAAACGTTCCATTCAGATTGATTCATCTAGATACGCCAACTCCCCTAACTAAAAGAACAGCAAACACAATACATACCCTTTATGAACATATGTAGTGGCATTGTCTGGCTCAAGGTCAATACATTTATCATACATTTCATCAGCCTTGCCAAACTGCTGTTGATCAGTTAGTGCCTGCATCAGAAGAGAAACTCGTATGTCAATACGCAACCAAAACATGCACTCTGCACTATGCTGGTTCTAATTAAAACCATGTTGATGATATGAGATTGGGTACAGCTCTCTTATGGCAGAGCAGGCCAGGCGCACCAGTTACCAGAGCTGAATTTAAAAATCGAGGCTTTCAAATTAATGATCACATTACCATCTGTAATGGGAGATCCACAAGCAACACACTAAGTGTACTGCAAGTAAAACCCATTCTAAAACTCTGTACCTGCATGTTTCAACTTCTTTCGTTTTGAAATATACTTCTTTCAAAAAATAAACCCAACCTTATTGTCTGCCTGCTTAAAACCAGAACATCTCATGCTTTGTACTAGAACTCGCAATACACATTTTCTTAGAGAAGAAATACCAGTCTCTGTTACAAGTGTACTCTGAACATCTGTACCAAACTGCTTGACCGGTACATCTCATCTGTAGAACAAAACCATTACCCCAGTTCTACACATTTGACTCCCTGACATCGATCAAGTGAGATGCCACACACATGCAGGAATTCACAGGGAAGTGTGTATGCCAGATCTTCATCTCTTAGTAACCACCCTTGACTCTCAGCACTTTTATTCTCCTCCACCAATTTCCCCTCTACTTCCTCTACCCCACAACACCCATAAATTCAGGTAGCTTATTAAAGACAGCATGTGTTAAATCAGAAGTTATTCTCAAAAATCTTCACATATTATTTGAAGATATATATGTTATCAAAGATAAAAGGTGCAAGAGAATGCAGCATTTTATTTAAAAGAGAGAAAAGTGTACCTGTGCATAGAGAGCATAGCCTTCAGCACACTTTGGAAATTTTTTAATGACATCTTCAAAGCCTTTCATGGCTACTTGCACAGGCGAAGGATTATTTCCTGTATAAGCTTGGCGATACTATTAAGAAAGGAAAAGAAAAAAAAAAGAAAAGAAAAAAATGAAATAACACACACACAATGTTCATCAGACCTCTACCCACTTCCCCAGTAGATGCATGTGTCATAACAATTACAAGTTCCAGAAGGTATTGTGACTGTACATCCTATCAAATCTGTTTTTAGGAACCTACCATGTGTCCAAGTCTCTGGTAGAGTGGACTTGGGAAAAGAGAAAGGGTGAAAGAAGGAAGCCTTAAGGCCTGATAGTTGCCAGTAGCCTCCCCCTATTTCAAAAGCCTAGAAACTCCAAGCTTTGAATTCCTCCTTGTTCACACCATGCAAAGCTGTCCTCAGGTTTCCTGCATGCGTTGTACTAACTTGAAATAGTTTGTTTCCATTTTCTTGAAGATGGCAAATATCTTCAACATAAAAGCTTTATTTAAATCAGTTTTACATGATACAACAAGAATTAACTGTCTGTGTTCCTCTACCACAAAACTGAAAAGATGACCTCCTGATAACAAACATTTCAAAAGTAAAGCAGCAAACCTTTGCTCCAACTGAATACATTATTGCATTATTTCTTACTGACCTTATTACTAAAAGATACTGAGATGTTTGTTGCCCTACTTTTCCACTAAATTGGAATAAAACAGAGAAACACAGTATGTTTTCCAGAATTCTTTAAACAGAAAAAGCACCCAGATAAACACAGACGTGTTACCTACCAGAGCAAAACACTTCTGTGCTTGAGCCAAGGCAGAATCTGGTCGCAAACGGATACACTCATCAAAGTCTTCCACAGCCTCTTCAATTTGGTCAAGCAGGATTTTCAACTAGTCAGAATGAAAGAAAGTCCTGTTTCTGTATTTAATCTGTGCTTCAGATACTTAAATGAGAATTCAGTTAGCATTGGTTACTCATATGATCTCCAGTTCAGTTTTAGAACTGCCTAGAAACCTATAAAGCCCATGACTAAAAATCACTGCCATAAAATAACACAGGCACCAGTGAAACTTTGGTTTCATATGCAAAAAGGTAATGTCCACGTGTATGGCTTGAGAATACTTGCATTTCAGACTGTTGCCATTACTGCTTCAGCATTATGTCCAGTCTCCAAAACTATGCCATTATTTTCTCAAGTTACTCTGTCTTGCTGTAGTTAGTGCCTGTGGACTATCAGGATTGCAAAACATTTTGGCTTTCCCAGATTACATTTCAATTATGTCTGCTGTAAGTGTATATAAGCGCTACCACTTTTAGGACCTAGTTCGTAAGTGCCAGCTCCTGCATTTCAGTCACATCAGCCCCATGCATATGCTACAGGCTTGGAGAAGAGTGGCTGGAAAGCCACCCAGAGGAAAAGGACCAGGGGATGTTGGTCAACACCTGACTGAATACAAACCAGCAGCGTGCACAGGTGGCCATGAAGGCCAACAGCATCCTGGCTTGTATCAGCAATAGCACAGCCAGCAGTTGGGACGTGATCGTGCCCCTAACTACAAGAAAGACATTGAGGTGCTGGGGCGTGTCCAGAGGAGAGCTACCAAGCTGGTGAAGGTGCTGGAAAACAAGTCCTGTGAGGAGAGGCTGAGGGAACAGGGTCTGTTTAGTTTGAACAGGAGGCTGAGGGGAGACCTCATTGCTGTCTACAATTATCTGAAAGAAGCCTGTAGTGAGGTGGGTACTGGCCCCTTCTCTCAAGTAAGTAACAGTAAAACTAGAGGAAATGGCCTGAAATTATGCCAGGTGAGGTTTAGACTAGATATTAGAGAATAATTTCTTTACTGAAGAAGTAGTCAGGTGCTGGAACAGGCTGCCCATGGAAGTGGTGGAGTCACTATCCCTGGAGGTATTTAAAAACAGTGTAGGTGAGGCATTTCAATACATGCACTAGTGGGCTTTTTTTAAATTTTGGGTGGGGGGTGGAGGGGGTGGGGATTGATGGTTGGACATGGTGATCTTAAAGGTCTTTTCCAATTGTGACGATTCTGTGCTTCTGTACTGGTAGAGGGCTGAACCTCTGTAGCTTTGCATTCTTTTCTATAGCTGCAGAAATAAACTGCTTCTACCTGATCTGAACCTGCAAATTACACTGGGTGTTTATTCCACAGCAGTTTCAAATTAGAAGTTTGTATTTTTTCTGTGACAAACAGTATAAAGTGTCTCTGATGATGCACTCATCTTTGTATTTCTTTTAGTACATACTGAAATATTCAAGTATTGGGAGGAAATCCCTCATGTTTCTTACCTGTCCTCGATGGTGGTAAACATCTGCATTCTGAGGATCAATATCAGCAGCCATGTTGAAGTCTTGAGTGGACAGCACAGGCTGCTGCTGCTGCATATACATACTTCCCCTTTTGATCAGAGCATTAGCTCGCAGCTGTAATTAAAAGTTTAAAGACATTAGCCACTCCAACATTCCTCCTGATTCAAGGCTTTATGACAATTACAGTAATTTTTTCTCTTGACTAGTTTCTTTCTCTGACAGATTCCATTCATTCTACGCAGCAATAAATTTCATATTGACTAAATGAATCAACTCCCTTGCTTAATTTGAAGTATGTCAGCCTGTGCTTCCATTTCAGTGGATTTTCAACTCCCCAAAAATCCTCTATGAAGACAGGTTTCCCTATGCTTACAAAGACATCAGTATTTTTTTAAGCAGTACAACATGCAAGTACAATTAATGTTTTTTGCTTATCTAAGAACTGATTTTTCAGACTTGATAAGCCTCCAATTAATTCCTCTTCCCCTGTTCTTTAGTTTGCACTACTTAGAACAGCTGTCTCAAAAATCAACAAGCCCTGGAAAAAAAAATTTGTCAGGAACAAAAAGACAAAACAGTTAATAAATGAAAACACTACTATTAAAAGTATCTGAAAACTTGGAAAAACAACTTCTTGAACTATACTGCAAGTTTAAAATCTAACTTCTGCATTTTCTCAACCCAAACAACAACACAGCTGTGACAAAATCCTACCTTCACATTTGCCTCTTCCATGCTTATGACCTGATCAAGGTCTGGTTTGGCAGCATTTGCATTGCCAATAAGTAAGTAGAAAGTAGCTCGCAGAAGCAAGGCTTCTGCCATGTATTTTCCCTTTGCTTCAATTTCTTTTGTGCTTTCACTGATAATTTTGTCATAGTTCTCTTCTTCCATATATTGTTTTGCTCTCAAATAGCCCGAGCTGTAAATGATACAAGAACAGTTGTACACACACATGCATTTACTGAACACTGCCATTTCAATTCAGATTTTTCATTAAATCTTAACAAATAATAAGTTTTGCTATACTCAGTTACAACACCAGGATAATAGTAAAAGTAGAAATATTCTTGGATGGAGCCATCACATACTGAAGACAATTAGGACAAAGAATGGCCAAATTATGTTGTAAATAAGGAAGAAAATAGTTTTTACATCCTTGAACTTGAGCTTACTTCGTCCCTTCAATTTTTTTTTTCCCCACTTTAAGGACAGCAATAATCCCTGCCTTAAAACAAGAGGGCTGAGATGGAGTTCCAGATCAGAAAAGTGAAATATTAAACGTAGCAATGTGCAGGTTATACACGGAAGAAAGGATTTCACAGGAAAAATTACTGTAAGCACTGCCCTGTCCTCCGCTAAGTGTCCTGGATTCAGTAAATCTGCCTGATCATAACATTCTACTTTACTTTATGAAAAAAAAAAAAAAAAAAAAAAAAAAGTAACACTGTTTACAATGGTTTCCATATTGACAGCAGTGATATCTTAAAAAAAAAAAACACAAACCAACAACCATCAAACAACTGGAAAGCAGCATAGTAAGTTAAATCACCATGCAAGTGGTGTTCAAGCTCTACTGAAAAGAAAAGCTCAAGCTTTTCTTTGTCAGATCTAACTTCTCATTTATGTACAAGTGGATTCCAGAAAAATAAACACTGTTTTTAGCCTCAGTTGCTGTAAATTCATAGTTTTCATTAATAAAGACCCTTTTCCTAGCTTTTCTTCTCTCTTCCAACCCAAAGACTAACAACTTGCTCTCCTCCTTGGGAACTCTACTTCAGTTTAAAACATTCCTTTCTCCAGAATCATCACTCAGCACTCGCCAGTCCTCTCATCTCCTAGGATTTACTATGATACTGTAGTAAATATTCAGCGTATCTTCCCAATCTAATTTTCTTTCCTCTGTTTAGTGGATTGAAGCCATCTGCAGTTTGGAACTAGTCAGTCAGCTTTCACAAAAGTTTCAGTTTTAGTATTATCTCACTTCATGGACTCATTTTATTACCACAGGATTTCCCATACCAAGTACTATAAAAGCAACAGCAAGTTACACTGAGCAGAATGTCAAAATGACTGAAATTCCAAGCAATTCTCAACTGTACTGTACACTCACTTTTCTTTTACTTCAGAAGCCTCTCCCTCCTTATCCTTATCTTCATCTGATTTCTCACCCTTAAGCAAAGGTTGGGAGATTATATCATCTGTGAAAGAACTGAAGTAGGATTTAATGAACTGTGGTGAGGGCATCAGAGGCTCTCGATTCTGAAACAGAGAAATGTAATTTTAGGTCATTAGATGGTAAGATCAGATAGAAAATATGGAAATGGATAAACAAATGCAATTATTGAACACAAGTAATTAAAAGAACCACTGTATGACTTTCTACTATCTCATCTGATAGTTTGGTATTTTTTATTTGATAGTTTGAGAGTTAGGGATTAAGTTTCAGATCACAATGCAATACCCATCACCAGTATAAATAATGTGAAGATATTCAAGAGAGGAGGGAGATAGTATATTTCTGCATGTGTGACTAAAAATGAGGACCCTTAGGGTATCATAAGACATTGAGTAGATGCACTAAAGCTGTATGTGTGCACATAAATTGGGGTGAAAAACACAAGCTGACAGTTTAACCATGAGCCTAAATTCAAGTAGATTCTGAATGTCAATTTGCCCTTTTCTCCAACTTGCCCAAGAGAAGCTGCTGTCATTACAATGAAAGGTAATGAGGCAATACCCTAACTCTACATGGAGCCTGGCGCAGCTATCACACACTTTACTTGAAATCCCAGAAGTAACACCTCTCAGGTACAAAATCCTTTCTTCAGTCAAAAAATATTTCTGGCTCAAAATGAACACTGAACAGAACAACAGCAATTCAATCTCTCCTGCAAGACAAGTTTGAATGTGCTCTTCTGAATTTCTTTATGAAGTTCTACCATAAGACTGCCTATTTGAAACAGGGCTATTTTATCATGCTGCCACCACACACTAAGAACACAATTCATTTTTTATTACCTCAACAACATACATTTATGTGTTATTTTCTATAGAAAATAAATGCAGCACCTTGAAACCAACAGGAGTTTCAGTACTTCAACCACTGAGACAAAAAGCAAGCAAGAATGCTTTAATAATGAGCAAAAGTGTTTCAACAGCTGTCTCAACTTTTTTGCAAACCTACAGCCATTTAAAATGACTGCTCCTGGCTACACTTACACTTTCATAGTTCCCTTTTCCACAGTCTCCAAACATTAATGCAAAGACATCCCAGTGCCAAAATAGAAAGCACAAGGATGAGCACCTATTTACAGAAATGGACTGACACAGCCTGTGACTGAACATCAGAAGTAATCTGTAGCAGTTGGAAGATAAAGGCATATTTTTCAAGACAGAATCAGAAGGTCTGACCACTAATAAAAAGACATCACACTGCATTATTTTTTCCTAAGCAATGCTTTTTTGCCTTTTTTTTTTCCTCTTTTAATCCAACTGTAAAACAGTATTATTTTACCACCACCTAAAACATAGTAATTCTGCTGTCAACTTCACCTTTCCTACATTAAATTTCTATTTACAAAACCAGTAATAACCTGGGGTGGAAATGTCCTTAGTCGTCGTTCTTCTCATTTTAACCTATTCATTACATACGGAACCAACGTTTTTACACATTTTCAATTATGGTTAATAAGCTTCCCTATCTCAACACACATACCTAATTCAATCACCTGACAAGCAAATGAACATTTTGCTACTGCTCTTCTAACATGCCCTATTTTCAGTATGTTGCAAGTCCAGAAAAGCCCCATATAGGCCAGCACACCAACTTAGGATGACTCCTGAATGTAATAATACATTTGAATATTAAAGGGAAACAACTGTTAGAAATACACCTCTTTTCCCTATTGAGGTTTGAAAAACTTTGGAAAGGTCCCAAACAAAAACAACATTGGTACAATAGTAGCTTTGTACAAAACTGTTCATGTTGACTCTTACACTTCAGCAGATGCAGACAGTGAGGTGCTTACAATTGACAGAATACCAGCAATCAACATTTCAACAACCAGCCAGGAGAAATCAGAATTTTGTCAGCAATATCACAGGTCCTACCTTGTACTTCTCTTTGGCCTTTTCTTTTCCAAGGAGCTTAAGAACTTTATCAGCTAATAACATACTTTGCTGGTTTTGGAAGGCTTCTAAAATGCAGACTGCAGTGACATCTAAGAAACAACATCGAAAAGTGAGATTAAAGACAAATTCTAATACTCAGTGGAGTACACTAAAATGTGCCAGTTACAACGAGTCATTGCCAAACTGTTACGTAGCATGTTTGACAGTAAATGCCTGTTCCTGGTTTGCTGTATTTTTTCGAAGATACAAGTTGTATACAAAACAATCTCCTTGTGATGAAAAAACTTTTTAACAGTGAATGTTTATCTTCATGCTTTTATCTAGAGATAAACAATGAACAGCAAAAACACGTATCTCCAGCAGGGGCTTTCACCATTTTGAAACTTTGAGGACAGCAATTATGTTCATATTAAGCTTGCATTAAAGTCGCTAAGACAGCTTCTCTTCTGGGACTGGTCCTCATTGTCTACTTTTAAAATTCATATTCAGTCCCATCATATCTTGCTTCTTCCTCAGTTTAAGAAATCTTGAGAAAAAAACCTCAATATTTTCTGCTCACCTTTGTGACTTTGGAACAGAGCAAGTTTAAGAGAAATACCTGACCTATTTAAAGTGCTAGCCCTATCACATCACTTTTCATTCACACAGAAGCCTCTGCAGATGTTAACCCATTGCTTCACGAATCAGCATGAAATGCACTCATGATTCACGATGACAGCAGATAAATAAATAGATAGGTAAATAACATTTCTACATCTTATTTACCTTTTAATTCGCAGTCCTAATACTTACCTGTTAAACATAATGAAAGTAATTTAACAATTAGATTTGCTAGTCAGAACACTGCCTTATTTTCCATACTTCTTTGATAATAAGAACAACTAATAATTTCAGTTCCTGTTGATGTCAGGTTAAAAGGCAAATATTTCATTTTATGAAATTTAAATGGGTCCTTTCAAGCAGTGTCCCTTAGTTCAGAAGTGCCCTTAGACAATAAACCTGACCTGTAGTTCTCCTTGATTTTCATGGCTTCTCAGTCACAGTTTTGACAGTTCAAAATATATTCTGGTAGGAATAGTATTTGTAAGGATTTGAGACACTGGCTTTGGCCAAATAGTGTTAATATTAAAAAAAAGTTAAAACTGTTTCAATTTTCATAAGTTACTACATCAAAACGAAATGCTACTGAAACTGTTTTCCCTTTAAAACCTGTAAAATGCATTTAAATTATTGTGATACTCTTGTTTCTGACCATGTAACTCCATCTGCAAAAACACCTTTGCTTCTGTAGTAGGACCATTTCCCTAAAACAAACAAGGACCAAAGTATGTTTACTGTATGGAAGTAGAACAACTATTGTCCAAGTTATCCATTCAGCATGTTAGATGAATTCTGTTCTAAAATACAGGGAGTTTCCTGGAAAAAAAATAATATCTTGAGTGGCTACAGTAACATCAATTTCTCAGCAGCTACTTCAGATGTAAGCGGATGAGAGACTGATGAATGGGAAAAGGTTTCCCCTTACAAGAGAAGAAAATATATTTGCAGCAGCTATGGTTTTAAAGAAATAATTCTGTATTACTGTAGCTACAGAAGTAAAAGCAGAACAATCCCAGAAGTTATCATCTCCAAAGCACCCGAGCTAATTCCACTTTCAAGTATACGCATCAAGCAACACTCACCTTCTAAACATTCTTTCTTATTGTCTAATTTCTCATGAGCCTTTGCACGTCTGAAGAGAGCTTTTACATACTTAGGATTAAGCTCAACAGCTTTTGTGCAGTCTTGTGCCACTTCTGTCCATTTTTGCTGTGGGTAGAAAAACACGGCAATAAGAGAGGGCCTACTCCACTGCATTCTGTTAGCTTTCCAATACCAACTCCAGGGTCATGCCCACCTAACAGTAGCTGCAGTTCCCAGCGCTCTGCTTCTACCTGCTCACATCTATTTCTGCATGTTTCTCAGTAAGAAACTGCCAGGCACCACTGGAAGCCACCTGCACCAGAAAAGCCACAAAAAGAAAAGAAAATCCTACAGAAAAATGAAACCAGACAGCTGTGCCAAGCATGCAGGAAAATATGAGTTTATGTGAAGATGCCTGCAGGAGGTAACATTGGGACTGAAAGACTGGTACAAAGCAGATATAAGAAAAAAAGATTAAAACATAATTAAAATCAACAAACAAGTTTACCAGACTGATAAACCACTTTTTTTTTTTTCTTAATATTTCCATTTACTATGCTATATTACTACAAAGGGATGATCCCCCCCACAGTCCAGGAGATGGTCAGTGACCTGCTACACCATGTAGATGTGCACAAATCTATGGGGCCAGATGGGAAGCACCCAAGAGTGCTAAAAGAGCTGGTGGGGGTGCTCACCAAGCCACTTTCCATTATTTACCAGAAGTCCTGGCTGACAGAAGAGGTACCAACAGATTGGAAATCAGCCAGCGCAACCCCCATATATAAGAAGGGATGGAAGGATGATCCGGGAAATTGCAGGCCTGTTAGTTTGACTTCAGTACCAGGGAAGATGATGGCACAGATCATCCTGAGTACTATTATGCATTACATGCAGAACAACCAGGTGATCAGGCCCAGTCAGCATGGGTTCCTGAAGGCCAGGCCCTGTTTGACTAGCCTCACCTCCTTCTATGACTGGGTGACCGGCTTATTGGATGCGGTCAATGTGGATATTGTCTACCATGACTTTTGCATGGCCTTTGACAAAAGTGTCTCACAGCATTCTCCTAGAGAAGCTGGCTGCTCATGGCTTGGATGTGCACATGCTTTGTTGGATAAAAAAACTGGTTGGATGGCCAGGTCCAGAGAGCTGTGTTCAATGGCAATAAATCTGGTTGGTGGCCAGTCATGAGTGGTGTTCCCCAGGGCTCAGTGCTGTGGCTGCTCCTGTTTAACATCTTTATTGATTACTTGGATGAGGGGATAGAGTGCACCCTCAGAAAGTTTGCAGATGACATAAGTGGGGTGAGAGTGTTGATCTGCTTGAGAGTGGAGAGGGTCTACAGAGGGATCTGGACAGGATTGATTGATGGGCCGATGGCAACGTTTCAATAAGGCCAAATGTCGGGTCCTGCACTTGAAGCACAACAATCTCCGACAACGCTATGGGTTTGGGGAGGAGTGGCTGGAGAGATGCCCAGCAGAGAGGGACCTGGGGGTGTTGGCTGACAGCCAGCTGAACATGAGCCAGCAGGGTGCCCAGGTGGCCAAGAAGGCCAAGAGCATCCCGGCCTGCATCAGGAATAGTGTGACCAGCAGGACCAAGGAGGCGATCCTGCCCCTCTACTCGGCCTTGGTGAGGCTGCACCTCAAGCACTATGTGCAGTTTTGGGCATTGCAGTATACGAAGGACATCAAGGTGCTGAAGAGGGTGCAGAGAAGGGCAACTGGGTTGATGAGGGGTCTGGAGAACAGGTCTTATGAGGAAAGGCTGAGAGAGCTAGGGCTGTTCAGCCTAGAGAAGAGGAAGCTGAGGGGAGACCTCATTGCTCTCTACAACTACTTGAGAGGAGACTGTAGTGAGGTGGGTGTTGGCCTCTTTTCCCTAGTGACCAATGATAGGACAAGAGGAAATGGGATTGAGCTGTGCCAGGGGAGGTTCAGGCTGAATATTAGAAAAAAAAAAAAATTCACAGAAAGAGTGGTGAGGCATTGGAACAGGCTGCCCAGGTAGGTAGTGGAGGCACTGCTCCTGAAGGTGTTAAAAAAAAATGGGTACACATGGCGCTTCGGGAGATATTTTAGTGGTCAGAGGCTATAGGGCAGATGGTTGGACTTGATGATCTTGAAGGTCTTTTTCAACCTTGATGGTCCTATGATAAATTAATATGTAGAAATAGAGCTGGTTAAGGTTATTAAGAACTAAAAATACATTTATCTGAAAAACTGATTATCAAAACAGGCTTTTCTAGTAACTGGAAAAGAGGAACCACATACACTTGGCACAATTTGGTGTTATATGTAGTGTATGAGTAGACAGGAATTATCTCTCCTAACCTTCAAGACCACATTTCTCTAATCACACAGCCTTTCTCACTTGATACTTAAGACTACAAAGCATATTTCTCCACTCCTTTATAAAGCTCACCAACTTGACTTCATATGCAAATCTATTGATACCATAAAAAACAACACTGGTTGACTTCTAAAACTAATGTATACTCAGCTATCAAGTAAACGTTACCAACACATGTGAAAAAATTACATCTTGGGCTTTAGTAGGGTTTCTGTGATTTTTTTTGTTTAATTTTTGAAGTAGCAGCCTTCCAAAATATTTTGCCTTTCACCTCCCAGATAAAGAAACACTCTAGTAGAGAGAAGCAAAATTAACTTACATACAAGAAAATTGTTCCAGATAAGAAATGAAAACTTTGTCTTATAAGTAAGAAACACATAATAATTACAGAAGACAGACTGAGAATAATTAACAGAAAATAACTTTATTTCTACATAAAGAAGTATGATGAGCTACTGAAAAATAGCTGCAAGAAACAGCATCTTGTGAAGGCAGCAGTTTTCACCATCTGGGATCTTTCACCAGACAAGAGAGACAAAATACACAATTTATAATGCAGCTTTTTAGAATAAAAACAATTATCTTTAATTTCTTACCAGTTGTTCATAGGCAGCAGCTCTATTTTGATAGAAGGTAGAAAGATCAAGGTTTTTCTCAGGAGGGCATAGGCTGATAGCCTCAGTATAACACTGAATAGCTTGCTCATATCTTCCTGCTTTAAAGTATTTGTTTCCCTTGTTCTTGGCTGCTTGGGCTCTATCGAGCGGGCTCTGAAAAAGAAAGTGATAACTCATTTCAAATAAGAAAAGTTCCACCACGTGCAAGCTCTGCACTTAATGGCTGATCTTCAAAGATATAAAAAGGATCTAGTCTAGTCTAGACTTCTGAAAACCTTACTCCTTCCATTTCCTGGAAGTTTTGCAAGTGGATCAGATAGGAGACAATGTTTTCAAAAGATTCACTACAATGATAATAAGCAATGCAGCTATTTCTCTTTGGAAAGCTAAACAGGTTTTAATCCAAATGTGAGTGGTGATCAGAAGAACCAATGAGATAAGTTATTTCTCCAAAGACTAAGTACATGAAGACAACAAAGCCCTCAGAGCAATTCAGTTTCCTACTGAAATATATATAGCCTGTAAGACCAGAGCTCACCCAGCAGACTATGAATTAAACATGGAAAGCAGTTTGTGGAAAGACCTACTGAGCAAGAAGATTAAAACCTGTAGGGAA